TAGATAGATAGATAGATAGATAGATAGATAGATAGATAGATAGATAGATAGATAGAATAGTCTATCAGAAAGATCAATATGAAAATAAAGAAAATTTGGTGGGGGGGTTGTCGCCAGTTCAGTGATGTTATCACACAGCATCAGATTACATCATCTGAAGCCTGTATTTTCAGGACAGGTAGTCCTCGACTTACAACCATTCGTTTAATGACCATTCAACGTTACAGCAGTAATTGCGACTTAACAACCAGTTGTCCCACTTACGACCGTTGCACCATCCCACAGCCTTTGCGATCAAACTTTGCCAAACTGTGTGTACACACAACAGTTACAGCACCCTGGGATTCCCATTCACAAACTTCTTAGGGAGCTTCTGACAAGAAGCCAAATCAATGGGGGGAGCCAGATTCGCTTAACGACTGCACAATTCGCTTAACGACTGTGGTGTTTTGCTTAACAACCATGGCAGAAAAAGGCTCCCCCAAATGGTGCAAAGCTCACCAAAAAAGCTGCAATGGAAAGTTCAGGCTCCATTGTGGTCGTGCGTTGAGGACTACCTGGATGGACCTGGGCAATGGATGTAGAAGTTCTTTTCAGAAGGTCTTGATGTAACATCAGTCACTTGAATACATGCTGACGTATTTTTGCACCCATATTTTACAGGAAAAGGTGAGGCCATTGAAGCAATCCTGGCTGCCCTGCAGGTTGTGTCTGAGCCTTTCCGTAGCTTTGCCAACACCCTCGTGGACATCTGCGCCTACGCAGGTCAGCCTGGTTTGGGAATGGGATGTTGGGAGTTTCCTGTCCTTTTTATTCCTGGTTTGCATTCACACAACACACTTGCGAACTCGGGGAGGAAGATCTAACCCCTGCGTTTGCACAGCACGTTCATTTTGCTAGGGTTTTTTCCCTTAGCAGAGCACGCAACGTGAAACCCAGAGAATATAATGCTGTTGACGCATGCTATGTGAATTTCGGTCACAAGTTTGTGGTGTCCCCGCAGGATCTGGGAATGTGTTGAAGGTTCAGCAGCTTCTTCATATCTGCAGTGAGCATTTTGATTCCAAAGAGAAGGAGGAGGAAAAAGAGAAGAAGGAGAAGAAGGACAAAGAGAAGAAAGATAATTCGGCTGACATGGGAGCTCACCAGGTAAGGAGTTCTGTCCAGTTCTTGTACTTTGTATTTTGAGATGAGTTAACAGCCGAATAGACGCTGAACAGGTGGTGTTTAGTTAACAGCACAAACACTTAATTGCTGCCTTCTGATTTTTAATCCATAACCCAAAATGTGTACAGCATTCCAAAATAATAGGGAAAATGGAGCGGTACCGTTCAATTACTGTTTTTTGTCTTGTCTTCCATTCATAGTTTCTTTTTCTGCTAGTTACCAGGAGAGCAGAGAGACAAATGAGGCCCTGAAACCTCATTCAGGTGTCGGTAGAAACACTCTGCAACCCGCTTGCCCAAAGCAGCTAAAATTCATTTGGCTTCACCCATCAGACTGTGAGAAGCAGAAATTGCGCCCTATTCCCAAATTCGACACTTGTGCGTTGGAGTTACGTAATAAACAGAATCCTGGTTAAAACTGAGGGATGTCATGGTTTCTGAGCAAGTTGAGTGTTTCCTTACACCCAGTTCAGTAAACCTGCTTCTCTTCCCATTCTCCTTTTGCAAGATAACCTGATTTGAAGCTTTTTTTGGGTCTTGCCTTGAGCAGCTGGGCCAGCACATTTATCGTCCAGTTAAAAATAAAAAAAATTCCTATATTTAGCGATGTTACGAGGTGTCCTGTGGTTTCACATGAGGTCTCTCCTGCTGCAGGGTGTGGCGGTGCTGGGCATTGCGCTCATTGCTATGGGTGAGGAGATCGGGGCAGAGATGGCTCTACGTACCTTTGGTCACCTGGTGAGTAGGAGGCTGAAGACACCTGGAACGTGGGGAAGGGGGCAATAAAAGATAACAGGTAGACTTCAACTTTCAACCATTTGTGCAAAGAATAGTTTCTATAAACGTTTTTCATCATAATATTCTGACCCAAACCCTTTTCCAATAAAACAAACACGAACCAAAGGGAACAGAAACCTTCTAATGATCCTTACGAATCCCCGGTTAAAAGGCTGCTGCAAACTAACTAACTTTGATAACCACGAGCCTTGCCAAAACTGTGCGAGGCTGCCAAGAATCTCAGATAAGAAATATTTTACAACACCAGAGTCTTCAAATACCAACTAAGATACTGCAATGTCCACGAGGCTCAAGTTTTAAAACGTCTTTGCTTCCTGCAAAGAACGTCTGATTCACAGCTGGCTTTTATCTTCTTGAAGGAGGGGCCATTATCTTGAAGCCTAACTCCTGAGACGCCCGTGCTGCAGCAGCTGCTCTTTCCTGCGAGCAACCTTGCGCGCATGCACACTTGGCACAGGCTCCTCGGGAACCTCCTCATCGCTGCTGCCAGCCCCCACAATCTCTGAAGACAGCAGTCCACTCCCTAATGGTCCTGGCCCTCACCTGAGTCCTCGCTCTCCTCAGCCGTCCGCACCTGCTGCCGGCTAACCACAACACATACAAATTAAGAGATGTACTGTGTATCTTAACAGCCTTGAGCCCCATGTACAGCTAGCCCTCAACTTGCAACAGTTCATTTAGTGACCATTCAAAGTTACAACATTCTGCAGGAAATGTGAATTTAGTTGAGTGCCTATGGATATTCTCAGTCATCCAGGTCATGGTTGCCCCAAAGGTGCTTTTTCAAAAGGCAACTGGACTTTCTTTTGTTTTTCCTCAAGGACGTTTCGCTTCTCATCCAAGGAGCGTCTTCAGTTCAGAACCAAAATCCGGTTGCCTTTTGACAAAGCCTCTTTGGTTGAATGTAATGACTTCCCGTTGCTCCACTAAGTGGCAGCTGGTCTCTGGGGACAGTTCAGTTTTTGTTCTTACCTGCACACTTGTGAACCAAGAGCTTATTTTCGTCCAGGGTGCGTTGCTACAGTAGGAGTAGAGACCACAGTGGTCTGCAGCAAAAGACCCCGATGCTTTAATGGTCCTCTTTCTTTTTTTTTCCAGCTACGATACGGGGAACCGACTCTCCGACGAGCTGTTCCATTAGCTCTGGCTCTCATCTCTGTGTCCAACCCTCGCCTCAACATCCTTGACACGCTCAGCAAGTTTTCCCACGATGCCGACCCCGAGGTGTCGTACAACTCTATCTTCGCCATGGGCATGGTGGGCAGCGGTAAGCCCATCCGGGGTGTTGTTGAAGGGAGGGCATTCCTGGCGCTTAAACGTCTATGGCAGGTCACGGTTGGGTTTATTTTTTCCTTCAAGAGGCAACCAGGGTTCCTTCGTTTTCCTTTCGAGACATTTTGCTTCTCATCCAAGAAGCTTCTTCATCTCTGACTGGAGAGTGGAGAATGGAAGAAGTATTCTCCTTGCAGACAGCTGGTCATTTGCATCCTATTAAAGAGCCGTTGGAGGTCTATCTGTGCCTTCAGGGTCACCTGAGTGGTGCAAATGGGTGCGGAGCCTTCTTGGAACTGCTGAAAGGCCTGGGTTGTGGACTGGAAATAGACGGCGTCGTATCCCTCCCGCTCTGTTGAGAGAGGGCTGTTCAGTTTTGACATAGATGGCCCCTTTGACCCCTTTCAAACCAGCGGTCTTCTCTGTCCAAAAATGTGAACCTTGCTGTCTTCAAAAGACTGGCCTTTGTCTTTTAAATGCAGACGGCTGAACCTTGTCCGGATGGGTTTGTTCTCCCGTGTTGTGCCATGCGTTCGTGAAGTGATGGCTTTGTTTTCCCCAATGTACAGATCTGCCTGTGTCTCACCGCACTGTACTGCATATATACTGTATATAGCGCGCTTTTCGGCACACCACAACAAAAAGGTTCACCATCACTGGAATAGGGGATCCTTCCCCGCCACCTCCCCAAGTATTTTTTTTTCCTTTTCTTTTTTTGTTCCCCTGACCCTATCGGTCTGTATCCATAGGTACCAACAACGCTCGCCTGGCTGCAATGCTGAGACAGCTGGCACAATATCACGCCAAGGATCCCAATAACCTTTTCATGGTGCGATTGGCTCAGGTAATGGTGCAGCCTAACCTCTGCCCCAATAAACAGCTTGGGGCCTCATTAAGCTTTAGGGAAACAGCCAGAGAACTGGGCATATTTATTTATTTGGCTATGCCGAATATTCAGGACTCCTCGGTGGCGCTAAGCACAGCATAGCTTGACCTTCAGTCACACCTGAGAGACTTGCCCAGGGCTCACCTGACACCCACTGCTAGCAACGCCTGTGGAGGTTCTCAGTCATCCAGGTCATGGTTATCCCAAAGGTGCTTTTTTTTTTTTTCCTTTCAAGAGGCAGCTGGACTTTCTTGTATTTTCTTTGATGAATTTCCAGAAGAAAAAAAAATTGCAGACTACAGGAGCCATTTGCAGTTTGAGATGCAGACAATACAGACTCATCCCCAATAGCCTGCGCCTGGGTTTAACAGTGAAGGGACACGGGACAGGAAAAAACATCCTGGAGAAAGCACAGCTCCACAGCAGATTGTTGGGGGAAATATGCAAATAGTGCAAGTAATGCTAACATTGAAAACTGCTCAGACAATGCTGTAAAGCACCATGGAGTGGTGTATAAGTCTTGGTACTATTGCTATTACTATACACCTCTATATTGTATCTCCTGAATACCCCCTAGCCTGCCCTTCCTTCCTTCCTTCCTTCTCACTCATCTCATGTTTTGTTGAAGCACTGTTCAAGGCAATTTAGAACCCTATCCTATCTATCTATCTATCTATCTATCTATCTATCTATCTATCTATCTATCTATCTATCTATCTATCTATCTATATATATATATCCTTCCTTCCTTCCTTCCTTCCTTCCTTCCCACTCACTCATCTCACATTTTGATGAAGCACTGTTTAAGGTAATTTAGAACCCTATCTATCCATCTATATCAATCTATCCCTTCTTTTTCTTTCTTTCCTTCCTTCCTTCCTTCCTTCCTTCCTTCCTTCCTTCCTTCCTTCCTTCCTTCCTTCCTTCCTTCCTTCCTTCCCACTCACTCATCTCACATTTTGATGAAGCACTGTTTAAGGCAATTTAGAACCCTTATCTATCCATCTATATCAATCTATCCCTCCCTCCCTCCCTTCCTTCCTTTTCACTCATCTCATGTTTCGATGAAGCACTGCTCAACGCAATTTAGAATCCTATCTATCCATCCATATCTATCCTTCCTTCCTCCCCTCCCCGCCCTTCCCACTCACTCATCTCGTGTTTTGATGAAGCACTGTTCAAGGCAATTCAGAACCCTATCTATCCATCTATATATCTATCAATCTATCCATCCATCCATCCATCCTTCCTTCTATCCATCCAACCAACCAACGTTTGGAAATAAACCCCTCAACGTTTTTTTCAAAAAAACCCTCTATTGACCATTAAGTGGTACAGAGCAGTAATTAATAACTGACAACTATGGAAGGAAACCAAGAAGCTCAGTCCAGGTTACGAGCGGGGAGCAACTGGTACAGCAACTGACGCTTAGAGCGGCCAGCCTCTTGGCCTGGTCAGTGCCTGTGGACTTAGTGATGACAAGCTATTGGCAGAGTCAAGTTTGGGAGGGTGTTTTAACAACCTCTCACTTTTCCTTTTGCTGCGCAGGGTCTGACCCACCTTGGAAAAGGAACCCTCACCCTCTGTCCTTACCACAGTGACCGGCAGCTCATGAGCCAGGTTGCTGTGGCCGGCCTCTTGACCGTGCTGGTCTCTTTCCTGGATGTGCGTAACAGTAAGTATCCTTTTTGGATTTTCAGATTGCTTCTGGGTAAAAGCAGGCACCCTCGTTCAAAGTCTCCCTCCCACTGTAGGCGGGGAGGGGGAAGCTTTGGCAAAATGGCTCGGGGGTCCATATTTACAGTCACAGTTGCGATGGTCTGTTAATGCGGCTGCCAACCCTAGGGAATCTTTTGCTGCTAGTTCTGGGACGCTTTTTCTCTAGTTCCACCAAGGCCCAAGGCTGCCTTGCTTCACTGAACCGGCCACTTGGGCAGGATATCAGGTTGAGAGGAAGAAGCGGTACCACCTTTCGGTTCTCCCTCTATACTTGCCTCTGATGCACATCCTTGGTTGGTTCTTTGAACAGCCAGGCAAGAACCTTTGCTTTGCAGATGATACAACAGTGGTGAGACTCATCTCCGTGGGGGATGAGTCTGCCTACCGAGATGAGGTGGACCAGCTGCTTTCGTGGTGTGGAGACAATAACTTGGTCCTCAGCACCAATAAGGAGCTTATAGTGAACTATAGAAAGATTAGATCAGACATCCAGCCCTTGCTTATCAATGGAGACGGAGGGGAGTAAGTGGCCAGTTTTAAATTTCTGGGATGTTACCATAAAAGAGGACCTGACCTGAGGTGCTCACATTGCAGCCCTGGTCAAAAGGGCCCAGCAGAGATTATACTACCTGAGGCTTCTCAGGAAACAACAACTGAATGGAAAACTGCTGGTGACCTTCTACCGTTGCACTATAGAGAGTATCTTTACTTACTGCACCTCTGTCTGGTTTGCCAATTGCATGGTGGCAGATAGGACAGCGCTCCAGAGGGTTAACGTCATTGCCCAGAAGATCATGGGTTGCCCTCTCCCCTTTTTGGAAGAGCTTTATAGCTCCCGCTGCCTTAAGGAAGTTCAAAACATTCTCCAAGATCTATCTCATCCTCGGAACCTTTTTTTTTTTAACTATTACCATCTGGCGGATGGTACAAAATAATAAAAACAAGAACAGATATGCTGAAAAACAGCTTCTATTCCAGGGCAGTAGCTCTTTTGAATTCTACTGTATAGTGCAGTGTTGGTGTGGTGTTGGGGTTTTGGGGTTCAATTGTATAGAATGCGAAGGATGTGTACTTATGTTTAATTTTTATAGTTACAATGTACATTGAAGATGGCGTTTAATTTCGTTGTACGAAGTGCAATGACAATAAAGTTAACTAACTAAACTAACCTTAACTTGAGATCCCGGAGAGGCCTGTTATCATTAGTTGATCGAAGTAGTTCCCATATTTTAAGATGACTCTTTCTGTTGGTTTGAGCCATATCTTTTTTTTACAATTAGGGCTTGGTTGGGGATACTTGGTTACATACAGCCCCTTTGCTTTGTGTCAGAGGGGAAAAACATTTCTTCTTGGCAAAATGCAAAGGTTCTGAGAGATCAGCCTCTCTTTTACTTCCGTGTCCCGTCCTGGGAATTGTGCGTGGCTGACTCCATCTGGGTTTATGGCATCGTATCTACAGGAGATGTGAGGTGGCATCCAGTGATATTTATTTCTTGTATTTATATCCCCCTAAGGAGCTCAGGGTGGCTCTCAGAGTGGGCCATCCCTAACTTAACCTCATCAACAGCAATTTTGTGACGTGGACTAACTTACAACAAAATAATAAACCGAAAGATGCCCAAAGGACTTGAAAACAGATAACAGGCGCCGGAAGGGACCTTGTAGGTCATCTAGTCCAACCCCCGCCCAAGCAAGAGACCCTACACCATTTCTGGCAAATGGCAGTCCAATCTCTTCTTGAAAGTCTCAAGCGATGGCGCTCCCACAACTTCTGAGGGCAAAAGCTGTTCCATGGATTGATTGTTCTCCCTGTCAGAAAGTTTCTCCTTATTTCCAGGTTGAATCTCTCCTTGTTCAGTTTCCATCCATTATTCCTTGTCTGGCCTTCGGGTGCCTTGGAGAATAGCTTGACCCCCTTCCTCCTCTCTGGGGCAGCCCCTCAAATATTGGAAGATGCTCTCCTGTCTCCCCTGGTCCTTCTCTTCACTTGACTAGCTATGCCCCAGTTCCTGCAACCGTTCTTCATATGTATCCAGGTCCATCCCATAAACCATGTTACACCACTGTCAAACGAACAGAACACGGAGAGGGCACTTCCAGTTTTGGTCCAGTCTCCTCAAACTTTGTCCCTTGTCCTTCTTTCTCTTCTAGTCATCCTTGGGAAGTCCCACTACGTACTCTATGGCCTTGTGGCTGCCATGCAGCCACGCATGCTTGTGACTTTTGACGAGGAGCTGCGCCCACTGCCAGTGTCGGTCAGAGTGGGGCAGGTAAGTGGTCTCAAAAAGAGCAATTGGGCAGGAGTGGTCAGGGTCCTGAGGGTACTTGGGGATCCTGGACCACTTCAGTATTTTGTGTCTGTTGGGGGGGGGCTTGGTTTTGAACTTGGGAGGGCGATTGTCTGAATGTTCTGCCCCCACTGATTCCTGACCTTTTCTTCCAGGCAGTGGACGTGGTGGGTCAAGCTGGGAAGCCAAAGACGATCACCGGCTTCCAGACTCACACCACCCCAGTGCTGCTGGCACACGGCGAGCGGGCAGAGCTGGCCACCGAAGAGCACATACCTGTCACGCCTATCCTGGAAGGCTTCGTAATCCTGCGCAAGAACCCCAACTATGATGTCTGAGTTGCCTGGGGGTTGGGATGCGGGTTGGCAGGATGGACTGTTCTCTCTCTCTCTCTTTTTTTTTTTTGTTACATAAATTGTTTGTCAAAGGAAAATAAACTGTCTTCAAAATAAGGCTGGCTTCTTTTTATTTAAGGGGGAAAATAGGATGGGAGCTTTTTTATTTTGGGCTGCAGGATTGGGAAAAGGTAAGGCTTGAAGGAGTTGGACTTTACAAGCTTTGAGCGGAGGCTGCCTTGAGTCTTTGTAGTACCTGTACCTTGACAGGGCCATCCTGCTGTAATATGTGTTTTTTAAACTGGTTTGATTGGACTCCGAGCTCCTTAGAGTTGCGTAAAACCATATCATGAGTGGCAAATAAATGTGATAACAGTAACAAAAGGCACCTCTGCTTGGAATAGCAAGCTTACATCCTGTGACAATATCTGTAACACCATCAAACATTCACATCTGCCTACCCCAGGTCCTTGGGAAGGACTCGATCATCTTCCAGTGACCCCATAATCCCTTCTTGGGTGGAGTCTGGGCAACTGAATGAAGGTGGGTGTTTACTGGCTAGACGCCCTTCCTGTCACCAATGCGGAGTTATATTCAGCAGATACACTGCTTAAAAAAAATAAAGGGAACACTTAAACAACACAATGTAACTCCAAGTCAATCACACTTCTGTGAAATCAAACTGTCCACTTAGGTAGCAAAACTGGCTGACGATCAATTTCACCTTTCAAATGGAATAGACAACAGGTGGAAAGCATAGACAGTTAGCGAGACACCCCCTTTTAGGATATGCAGAGTAGAGAAAGTGTAAAAAGGATGCCACAGAAAGTCAAGACATTTTCATACAACTGAACTTGGGTTACCAATACCTTTCATTCTATCTGACCACATCTTCCTAATTTTGCAAACGATCCATGCTTCTATTCCACCTGTGCCATTGGTGGGTTTCAAATAATTCCACCACCGGTTCGCCGAAAATGTGAGCGCACACATCTATGCGCCATATCATCTACTGCATTTTGTTTTCTAAATTCACTTATTTTTAACATCAGAATCAGAATAGAGCTAGAAAGGACCTTGGAGGTCTTCTAGTCCAGCCCCCCTGCTCAAGCAGAGACCCTATAGCACTAGCCCTTAGACTTATATACACCGTGCTTTCTAGCCCTCTCTAAGTGGTTTACAGAGTCAGCCTCTTGCCCCCAACAATCTGGGTTATCCTCATTTTACCCACCTTGGAAGGATGGAAGGCTGAGTCAACCTTGAGCCTGGTGGGATTTGAACTGCCAAATTGCAGGCAGCTGGCTGCAGTAGAAGTAGCTTGCAGTACTGCCCTCTAACCACTGCGCCAGAGGCTCTATACTAGTGATGGCTAAACTTTTCGACACCGAGTACTCAAAGCGTGCACACAAACCCCTCAAATGCAATGTGCACACGTTCCCGGTGCATACGCCCTGCCCCATGAACATCCCCCTGCATGCATTCCTCCCCCACACATACGTGGCAGAGACCCAAAGACCAGCTGACTGGCAGGAGGCATATGCACATGCATGGCAGCTGTGAGCTGGGGCGACGGTGTGCCATAGGTTCGCTATCATGGCCCTATCCCATTCCAGACAAGGGGCTGTCCAGTCTCTTCTTAAAAACCTCCAGTGGTCGACCACCCACAACTTCTGAAGGGAGCTTCTGTTCCACTGGTTAATTGTTCTCACTGTTATCTATCCAACTGTATCGCTATTATCAACAGTATTATCACTGTTATCTATTCCACTTTATTTTATAGATTTAGAATAGAATGACAGAGTTGGAAGGGACCTTGGAGGTCTTCTAGTCTAACCCCCTGCCTAGGAATTTGTCTTGGTGCATATGCTCTCAGTGTATATCAAAAGAAGAGATATATTCATCAAGAGTCAAGAATCATCTGGTACAACACTTAATGATAGTCATAGGGTACAATAAGCAATCAAATCATACTAGGAAACAGTCAATAAAAATCGTTAGGATACATGCAACAAGGTTACAGTTAGAATAGAATAGGATAGGATAGAGTAGAATAGAATTGAATTCTTTATTGGCCAGGTGTGATTGGACACACAAGGAATTTATCTTGCTGCAGATATTCTCAGTGTACATAACAGAAAAGACATTCGTCAAGAATCATCAGGTACAACACTTAATGATAGTCATAGGGTACAAATAAGCAATCAAATCATACTAAGAAACAGTCAGTATAAATCATAACAGTCAATATAAATATCTTCAAATAAGAAAAGCGATGCTGCTATACATAGACATCACCAAATGTAATATATAAACATCAAATGGACTATATTATTGCCAAAAAGGAGGTTGAGAGCTCAATCTAGCATCAAAGATGTGGCCAGGTACTGAGTGTGGAAAAGTTCAAACTCCAAGTTAAGCTAAAGAAGAAAGCCAGTTTCCACAATATGGTCTTGAACATACTGTATGTACAGTATACACCATTATCAAGGAGAACATCAGCAACAGCATTAGCATTTAGACTTATATACCACTTCACACTGGTTCATAGCACTCTCTGAGTGATTTACGTCAGTATATTTTCCCCAACAATCTGGGTCCTCATTTCCCAGCCCTGGAAGGATGTAAGGTCAACCTTGAGTTTGTCAGGATCAAACTCTTGGTTGTGGGCAGAGTTGTCCTGCAACACTGCATTTCTCCCACTGTGCAACCACGGCTCAGGAACTTTTTGCTATTGAAGAGCAAAATGTGGTTGCACGCCCATTTGTATGTTATGTTAGACAGCAGGTTTGGCCTAATGGTTAACGCACCAGCCTAGAAACCGGGAGACTGTGGCTTCTACTCCCATTTTAGGTATGAAAGCCATCTGGCTGACTTTGGGCCAGTCATTCTCTTTCAGCCCAATTTACCTCATGGGGTTACTTGGAGAAAAAGTAGGAGGAGAAAGGAATATTAAGTATTTTCACTGCCTTGAGTTACTTATATATAAAGTAATAAACACAGGATTAAAAAAAAATCTAATAAAATGCTTATGCAGCAAGAAGGCTGTGTAGAATTTAGCATGTTGTATGAACACAGCTGGAATCTCAGAATCCAGATATTCCATTTACTGTAACTTATGGCTGAATTACATAAAACATTACAATGGAAAGGACACATTATAGGGCTGCCTTCTTATCAAGTATGAAGATTTAGGCTCTAGAAGCCAGGCCAAGAGGCAGGGAACCAAGTAAAACTTCCTTGGATCTCCTCTTTCTCAGTAACTGAGAAGCAAGCTGTACTGATATTTTTATTGATTGATTTAAACGATTTCTAGAGCTGCCCATTTCAGAGTAATGATTCTGGATCATGTATGGAAACTTAAAAAACCCCAAATACATCTATGTCTATGCATGCTTAACTAAACTACCCAGGAAATGACATCCACACACTGAAGAGTCAACCGACTGTGGTTTTAGTTAAGTTACGCAAACCAAGTTCATTCAGTTAGGTGCTCAACTTATTATAGCAGTGTTTCTCAATCTTGCCCACTTCAAGATCTGCACACTTCAGTTCTGTGGGGAATTCTGGGATTTGAAGTTGGCAAATCTTAAAACTACAAAGGTTGAGAAACATTGCTATTAGGGCAATCCAGAAAGCAGGTTAATTAAAAAGTCAAGTTTAAGAAGGCACACCGGGAATAGAATTTGCATTTTAGGCTGCAGTCTCCTAATTGGGTTATTTCCGAAAAGACTCCTCTGAAGAATTAAGATTTTAAAAAAGGAAGTTTTTGGGGGTGGGGGAAGAAGCTGTTGGTATTAATGAATTCAAAGGCTACGCCCTCATGAAACTCCTCTTCTGTGGTGGATTAAGAACGTTACAGATGGACGTTTAAAATGTGTTTAACAAAAACACACCCTTATATAACACATATATTAACATAATAGCACCTTTCCTAGGTGAGTGCTGATTAATGTCATTTGTTTTCCTTTTTTCAATATTTTGGCGATTTGTAATTTAGCAGGTCTTGAATAAATTGTTATTTATTATTATTAATATCTTTTATTCATTAAACATGAAAACCAGTCAACTGAACATTAAAAAATGTATCAAATACCAGTGACTGGTGCTAATGGTTGATACGGGTTGCTGCCTGGGTATCAAACCAAATACCTTCAAATTATTATTATTTTCATCATCACTATCATGGATTTAAAAGAGCTTTATAGCTGGACGACTGGCGCTTCACGGGGACTCCACCCCAACCGGCTTTGAAGACGTGCAACCCGCTCGCTCCAAAGACACCGGGAATGGGAACCGCTCACACGCCAACACGTGTCAGCCCGCCGGTAGCGTTGGAAGCGTGGCGATGGGGAAAAAAAAAAAAAAAAAAAAAGAGGCCGGAAGCCGGCGAGCGTCACGTGACGCAGGCGCCGTTCCTCCTCGTGGGAGGTCACATGACCGAGGCGCCGTGTCGGCTGGGCGAGAGCGGTCAGCTGACCCGCCGGGGCGCCCTTTCTTCTCTCCTCGAGGCCGGGGGAGGGGGGAGGGAAAGGAGGGGGAAGGAAGAAAAAAAAAAAAAGCATGGCGCGGGTCACGTGACGAGGGCCTCTCTCTTTTTTTTTTTTTCTTCCCCGCCCCTCCCCTTACCCCCCTCAACCCTCCTCCCGAGCGAGGCTTCAGGCGAGCCCCGCCCCTTTCCCCCCACCTCCTCCTCCTCTTCTGGCCCTCGCCCCGTGACCGCCCCTCCTCCCCTGCCGGCCCCGCCCCTCCCCTCGGAGCGGCTCCGGAAATGGTCGTGCTGGGCTTCGCTGCGGCTGCGTTGGGTCTCGCTCCCCGGACTGAAGGCAACTGAAAGGTACCCCGCGCGGGTCGGAGGGGCGCGCGAGAGTAGGCCGCGGCGCGGGTGGGGGTACTGAGGGTGTGTGTGTGTGGGGGGGGGGGGGGGGGGGGGGGGGGCGGCGGCTGGGCGGGGACCAGGCTAAGCCCCGCCCCCCTCCGCCGGGCTCTCTTCTCCCTTCTCTCCCTCACCGCGTCGCGCCCTGACGGGGGTTTCGGCCGCCATTGCTCCCTTCCAGGCCTCGCCTCAGCACCACGTGGGAAGCCCAGGCCGGAGGGAGGCCCTGGCCTGGGACAGG